ATTTTTAAAGAGTTTCATAAAAAACAGAATAAGCTGAGCACAGTTTGGGAAAGGAATATGTCATAAATGTACAGAAGAAGAATGAAATGAAATCTTTTTGACTGGAAAATGCTAAATTTATTTTGGAAGAGGAATTAAGAATTTCTTAGGTTGAAATCTGGGGTAAAATGGAAAAGATTTTGAACAATCTAGAGAAGAAGATTGATATTAGACTTGCAGATATATAAAATAAATTATTACATTAAGAAAGCAGAATCAGAAAAAAGGAACTTGTTCTTTAAAAACCTCTTTTGGGGGACACGGAACTGAAACTTCTCTAGCAGTTGGTCAGAGAAGCCGAGAGCTTCAGTGTCAGTAACGGCAGCTGGACACAGGCCCAAAGTCGATGGTTCCCAGGAAAAGCTCTTTCCTCCAGAAACCGACATCAACCGTCCTCAGTGCCTGGCAGAACTCTTACCATTATGATAACAGGATCAGCAAAAGCCGTACTGAATTTCCAGAAGGAGAGAGCTGTCAGGGCTGAACCCAGCCTAGAGGACACAGAAGTTACAGATGTAGGAGGCAAGGGCTGTGGTTTCTCAGAGCACAAAAGCACCCCCCTCCTGTTCCGGGAGCACCCTCCTCTTTATGACCTGCCTACATGCACCAGCAGGTCTTTTGGAAACAGCAGCGTCTAGGGCTGAATGTGGGCAGAAATTAAGCCCCCTTGACTGGGAATGTGGTTGCTGGTTTAGTGCTGATGGGAGGGCATGCCCAAATCAAAAATGTGTGTTACTCCAGTAGTGCATCTATTCAGATAAACAGGCTTTGTAGGAATACCTGCACAGCCCTTTCGGAGGCTGCAGAGTTCTGACTACTCAAACTAGGGCTCTGTAACCTCAAAGGGTGCGGTGCAGACTTCAGGCTTCTCTTCCTGCCACACCAGAATGGTGGTGGTCAGGGGCACAGTGGTGCCTATCTGGTGGCATTTGTGTATCAAAGCAGAATGGACAGTTCACAGTAAAGCAAACAGCCGATCAGGAGTTCAAGCTGAATGTCAGGTAAGCGTTTTATCATATAAAGCAGGTCACCCAAGGCAAACGTCAGAGCTTCCTTGTCAGGTATCGGGTATAAACACAAAGTGCCGTGCAACAGCCACAGCCACAGCCACAACCCTTCATTCCAGTCTGCAGAGGCAGATAATGGGAGTGGGTGAAAAACCTCTGACTCCATACAAGCAAGCCCATGTATTAAAGACACTCACACAGATCCAGCGGCAGCCCGCGGTGGGTCTTTTTCCGGATCAGGGCCTTCATTCAGTCTTCTCTCAGCCAAAGGAGAACTCTTCCAGAGCTGAATGGAATGGAATCGACTCCCAGTTCCAGCTTGTGTCACTGCTAATGTTACCAGCCTTCAGTGGGGCCTCAAGTTCTCCCCGAACCACAGGGGACCTCCAGAATGCAGGCCTCAGTTCTCCCGAAGGAGGTGGCCCCAGACTCTACTCTGGCATCACGTCCCTCCAGAGCTCTCCCCCCCCCCCCCCCAAGGCCCTCCCCCCCCCCCCCGGATGCCACCTCTCCCTCTCCAGAAACGTCCCAAGTGGGTTTGGTCCACCCCAGTCAGTGCCCAGGGGCCATTCCCAGGACATGGGAGCTAGGATGGATCTGGGGCGGGGGCAACCTTTTTACCATTTTTTAAATTTTTTTGAAAGAACAGAGAAGCATGTAAAGCACAGAACTGCTTGCCGTTCACTCTTTTTTTTTTGCCCCGTCAACCTTTTTGAACCTACAGGCACCTTTGGGATTTTGAGAGAGGGTGGTCAGCAGCACCCCAGAATAGCTGCCATCGAAGGCAGGGTCAGGCCCCAAATGGCTGCCTCAGGAGAGGCAGACCAAGCAGAACACACACCCCCATCTCCGTGGAAGAAGGAAACCCTGAAGGGGGAAATGGCACCAAGCACTGACCACTCGGCCTGATCCTCCCGTCGAAAACCATTCAAGTTGACGGAGGGCGCCCTGCAACAAGCCTGGCCTCACAATGGCCTCCCGCCTTCTGAAAGGCTCAGCCGGTGCCAAGATGTCACTCTGCGGGGCCAGCTGCCCGGGTGTGGATGATGTGGATGGTGATCTGACGAGACCTGGAATGTGCAGGCCCCTGTTTGCCCTGGAATGGGTGGCACCTCAAGGAGCCCACAGACAATGTTCCCTCTAAGCTGTGGGGTCTTGTGAGCAAAAATTCTGCTTTGTGAGGTACCGGCATTAAAGTTGTGAGTGAGCATAAATTAGTCTGCTCTGGCGCCATCCTTCCTGAGCTAAGACAAAAACGTGTGAGCCGAAGGCTAAAAAACTGTGAGCCTAGCTCACTCTAACTCAGCTTAGAGGGAACACTGCCCACAGGGCATCCTTCTTGGCCTCCTCCTGCTCTTTTAACTGCAGGCAACTCCATACAGGCATCCTGACCACAAATGGTTATTAGAGGGTCCAAGTAAGTGACAAAGGCTGTGGCCACATGAGCAATTTGCCACGGTATAGTAGCATGACCAGACCTTTGTGGATTTAAAGAGCACAACCAGACAGCAGCACCTGCCTTCTGTGCCCCAGTCGTTGGCACACCGTGTTGCCCCACTCCAGAAGCAGAGTAATCAGGCACCGGGGAAAGTCTAGTATTAGCAGATGCCAGCGCTTCCACTCCGCTTCCACTCCCCGATATCTGAACTCTCCTGCTGCTAAAGGAACCCGGAAGGGAAGTCTGAACCCACAGATCCGTTTCCACTACTGGGTTTTGGGAGGGGGGGTTGGAGTTGCTGCCTATGTGCAATTGGCTCCCTGGTTGAGGTGCTGCAGTAATGTGAACACCTGACCCCCAGCTGAGTGCACAGGGAAACCGCCCCAGGGGTTGCTGCCTGGCTGGTCTGCCCTGCAACATTTTAAACCAATGCAATTAGAGGAGCACCCAGATTGCAGCCAAAGTTTTGGCATATTGACGGGCACAGACGTGTCAGATGAGTCTTGGTTCTGCAGCACCTGGGTGGGGCTCCACTAAACCACCTGCATGTTCTGACGGAACAGGGTACAGGAGAGGGGGGGCAGGCAAGGAAACAAGACAAAGGAGCGTCCGTATGATCCAGCAACTGGTCCTGTTGAAAGCAGTCAGAGTGGGATACAAATAACAGGCTTGTCTGTGAGGCTCACTTCTAGTGATGCAATTATCTAATCCCCACAGATCCCAGACAGAGTAGAGGAGAAGCATTTGTAATGCAAACAGAAATTCAGGCCAGTGTAGGTTTTATGTTTACGTTTCAAACATGGATGAAGAAAGAACTGCTTTAAGCCTCAATTATGAGCAAGCCCTGCACTTCGAAGTGCTTTTACTCTGAAGGACGTTCTGCTGAGCTCCGCATCAACATATTTACGTTGGCTTCTTTAGTCATGATTCACTGTTAATAGATTATTCCTCTTGTCCCTCGCTTAAGAAGCATGTTCACAGAACTGAAAAAGACCATCGGAAAGCAGAAAAAGTAGGGGAGCCCTATGGGGAAAGTATGGTTGTTCCTGCTCACATCCCTTGACCGCTCCTAGGCCAAGGAGATGCACAGAGCAAGGAAAGGGCAACACCGAGGAATGTCCGTAGGATCCTTGCTTACAAAAATGGAAAACAAAACAATCAAAGCTGGTGGCAAGGAATATTGTTCCCTTTTCCCTTCCATGATGAACAAACCTGAAGTGTTTATATCATTTCAGACTTCTTCAGCAAATGCAAGTGTTTTGATGCACTTTGGGGAGCTGGAGATGTTTCACCACTGGAAAATTCTGACCAGGTGCCTCTCGGCTCTTTGGAGCATTAAAAAGAGTCTGATTGTGTTTGTATCATATTGCGTGTCCTGCTGCAGATTGCAGACTGGTGGTATATGTCTTCAGTTGTCACATAAATGCCACACCAGCAGTAAGGGCCAAGCCCTGAATCTACTCTGGCTCTTTCCTGTGGGCAGAATCGACTTCCTGCACTGCCTGCCTCCGGTCCAGTTCAAGAAAGGGACGCTAAGCCTCCAAAGCCTTTCTGGGTAGGGCTGCCGCCAGCAGCTGCCAGCACTGACCGGAAATGCTCCCCCCCCCGGCTCCTTTCAGCCCCAGATTGGGGGGGGGGAGATGGGCACAATATGGGTGCCGGTCATTCCCCCCTTCTGGGGCTAAAAGCAGCCCGTGGAGGCCTTCTTCTTACTGGGGAAAGAGGGAGGGGACAAAGAGCTGACCTCCTCAGTGCTGCAGCCCCGATCCCTCTCAGGGGTATTCCAGCAGGTGCTTTTGGAACCTGACCGTTCAATCCTATGCAGAGTTACTCCAATCTAACCCCCTGATTCCAGTGGGTTTACCCTGGTGAAACTCTGCATAGGGTTGCAGTCCAAATTACCAAACATGAGTCGCCCTTGTCCTGAAGGATTTGGCACTCGAGGTGCTTGGGGGTGCCTGGAGAGAGGGCTGGGCCTCTGAAAGACGAAGACCCTCATGACAGACTCGGGGGTGTTTTCTCCGTCCCTACGCCCAGACTGCCTGAGGGTCCGCCCATCACGGAGGGCCCTCCTGGTCTCACGGCCTGTCCTGGTGCTCAGCTGCCTGGGAAGTTCAAAGGTGGAGGGGGGTGGGGTGGAATAAATTAGGGGTTTCCGGTTCTTGACAGTGGAAATTCAGCAATTTTGCTGGGATGAAGCCACTGAATACAAATGCTGCAGCCAGACCCTCAAAGCAGTTGTGATTCCCAGCAGCGCTCTGTAGCCAGGCAGGGGCCTCTCAAGTGCCACGGCACAGGAGACTGGCGTCTGAAAGAGCCTCAATCTACAATTTTTGCCAATTGCAATGGATTGCCTCAGTCTGTTCCCTTCCCTGTAAACAAAAAGCTGAAAATAACACAGTGCACAATATGATAATGCGAGATATCACGTGGACATCTCCAGCAGGGACACCAATGTCTGCTCTGGAATTAGAATTAACCAGAGCCACAGAACAATTGATATTTATAGTCCGAACATCTCAGAGTTCCAGGCTCGGATGCTGCTTGCAAAGTGAATCCCGCCTGCAATTTCAGACTCCAGTATGGGCAGCAATCCAGTCTCGATAGTAGGTCACCCGCGTGTAGACTCCTGGCTTGTTGGGTTTGGCACATTCATCCCCCCAGCTGACGATGCCAACAAGGTACCACCTGTCTCTTGGATCCGGAGTCACCAGTGGGCCACCAGAGTCACCCTAGCAAAGGAACAGGAACATTTTAAGTTCTGCAAGAAGGAAAATACTGTTCCCTTAGCAAACACAACATGATCATTAAAGTTGTGTGTAAAAGATTCAAGTGAGGGAAAGTGGGCTCCTGCAATCGGCATAAATCATGCAAACAGAGTGGATTTGCATAACAGGTGAGAGTTCAGAGATTTCACAGAGATCACCCACACCCTGATCCAAAGGGTTGCAACATTTGCTTTGTTAAAAAAGAAGGATGCAAGTCTCAGGAAGAAGAATCCTGTCCACTATCACACCCTGTGCTTACACGGAGTTGCAGCTCACACTGCCTTGAAGAGAAGGGCAAGAAAAGGAAGGAAAAAACCATTCAGAGACTCATTACCACTTCAAATGAATGCACTTTTAAAGACTCCAGTAATTCAAAATCCCAGAGGAGCAGTGGCCTTTGTCTGTGGCTACAGAATTAAACAGGAGTCCAGAGGCACCCTAAAGACGAAGTGGTAAAAACCAGCCATGTGTCTGCCACAAGGATTTTGGACCAGACATGCACCTGGAGTTTTGTATGTGAAATTTAACTGGGACTGTGGTGCATGGAGAGCACAGCCCTCCCCCTTTTCCAACCCATAACAGCCCCAGATAACTGCTATTTGCCCTGCTGGGGAAACTTATATGTAGTCATCGCAGGGGTCATTTCCTGCAGGAGCGCACAGGAGCGGAGCTCCAGCAGGAAAGAACCCAGGGGGCGGGCACATGCAACAAGCCCCGCCCCCTGCTCCCAGCAGTCCTCAGTCAGAGCAAGAAGCAGCCAGGTAAGTTGCAGAGCACACACACACCCCAATCCCAAAACAGTCCAGTGACACCTTTAAGACCAAGTTTTATTCAGGTACAAGCTCTCCCTCCTCTGCGAGGGCAGATCTGCACATTCCCCCCCTCCCATAGCTAGCAATCCAAAACAGTCTAGTGGAGCCTGAGAGGTGGGCGTTGCCTTCTGACACACTTCTGGTGATGTCATGGGGTGTAGCATATGCAAATAAGTTATGCTAATGAGTTGTGCTAATGAGCTCCTGCACCTCTTGTTCTACCCCTGGTCATCAGTACATGATGCAAGTTTCCCCAATGCACAAACAGCAGCTCCCTGAGGCCATTTCAGGTCAGGAGCCCCTTCTGGTCATACGTCATCGTCCTGATCCGAATAGGGCCCATGCACACTGGAGGATTAAACTCCAAACACAGAACTCTAGGCGCAGGTCTGATCCAAAGCCCTTGTGGCACCCAGCTATCCACCGCATGGACTTTGTAAACTATGAACCAGCCTGTTCTAACAAATTTTATTTCATCATAAGCGTAGAAGTTCCTGCTGGAATAAATTATGTTAGTCGTTAAAGTGGACTCCTACTTGATAATCAAGAAGCTATTTCCATACCGGCCGGCCATAACAAAAATCCCTTTGTTGATCATTGTAGTGTCACAATTATACCTTCATCTTTAAAAAGAAAAAACAGATCTCTCTCTCTCTCTCTCTCTCTCTCTCTCTCTCTCTCTCTCTCTCGTTGCCTTTCCACAGCTGTGGGAACTCTGTGGTCTCCATGGCTCACAGCAGGTCTAGAGCCCACAGACTGCTGATTGTGCAACCTGTTACCTCTCACAGGGGACATTTTTCAGCAGTGACGCTCACCAGGCAGGCCACCCCGTTTTCAGTCTCCATCCCACAGTCTGCTCTGAGCACACATCAGTGCCTCTGATGTGAAATGCCTCTGATCCTCACTGTATCAAGGAACAAGGGGACATCCTTGGCTTGGGCTAGTGCCCCACTCTGCATCCTCCAAGGCCTCCAATACAGTGGAGAACCTCCGCTGGCCTCTCGGCAAAGAAGGCAGCTGGCAGCGGTGCAGAGAAAGGTGACCAGGTGGGGGAAAGACTCCCTCGTGCCCTCTTTGCCAGCCTCTTGCAGAGAGAAGCCTGCCAGAAAGAGATGCCGCTGCACAGTGCCAGTGACCAGTGGCACAAATGGAGCCCGGATGCTATATCAATATAAGAATATTTAAGTGCCAGTTAAAAAAAAACAAAAAACAAGACAGCCCCAAACTTTGCTGCAAAGCAGCTTCAAGAAAGACTGTAAAAAAGCCAGGAAAACACCTGGAGGTGCACAAACGCCCCGCCAGCATTTGAACCCGAGGGAAATAACCTGTGTGGAAATGGCCTGACAAGTAGCAACCACTGCTTATTTCTGAAGCGGGGGGGGGGGAGGTCAGGTGACAACCGCCCCAGTGCCAAGGCAGGCCTTGTGCGGGTCCCGTTTGGCAGACTGTCTGAACCTGTGACATTCAGCCGTTCTTCCCTGCCCAGTTCTCCATTCTTCGACTTACTTGGCAAGCATCGCTCCCTCCTTCCAGATATCCAGCACACAGCATTCCAGGTGTAATAACCTGATTGTAGACTTCTCTTCTGTTGCAAACCTCATTGCCTATTATCATTACTTCTGTTTCACGAAGCTCACCGACACTGGGACCTGATTTTAAAACAGCAATGCGTCAGAAAGGGCAAGCGGGTTCTTGTGGTGATTTGCACGAGGCACACGCTCCAGCGCACCATGCCCTTCTCATCCCAGCCACATACACATCACCACGGACCTCTTACGGACAGACAGATGACGTAACACTAATTCATTCCTACACAAACCCACCACACTGGCCAGTCACTAATGCTCAGACAGCTCTTCTCCTGAATTTGGGGGTGGGGGCTGTCAGTATAAAAGCTTGCAGAATAAAATCCTGTCAATTTCCTGTTGATGCTTGCTGCAACAGACTAATCTGGCTCCCCTCTTGGATTTGGCTGTTATTCTGGCGCCTGGATATCTGGTTTATATGAAAACGCTCAAAGGGGGAGAGAGTGAGGACATTGTAGAGTAGTTGTGCCCTACATTTCTGGCATGGCTGTCTGGCATACCCCAAGTGTGTGTTGCACACAATAATGTCAGTTCAAGCTGCAAAGTACGTGTGGCCTGTTGCAGGCAAAATGATGGCACATAGCGTACTCTTCCTGTACAAGTGACAGCGGTGCCTGAAAAGGATATCTGACAGGGGCATTTACCAATCGGCAGAATTAAATAGAACTTGCCACCACATAGATTTGCACTGTGGAGCATACAAACATGCTCCATTTTGAGCTTCCAGGCCCAGTATTTGGACATTGTTTCGGGTGGTGACAACCAAAATGGATTCTGGTGAGCTATAGGAAGAGCCCTCTAGATTGCACAACTGGGCAGTAACATGGCAAATGATGTTCAATCTGGCTAAGTGTAAGAAAATCCTAATTTTACATATAGGCTGATGGGATCTAAACTGGCTGAGACTGAGATTTGAAGAGATCTTGAGCTTGTAGTGGAAAACTCTATAAATATGTTGACCCAGGTGTGCAGCAGACATAAAAACAGCAAACTCCATGCTAGGAATTACTAGGAAAGGGAGTGGAAATAAAATGGCCAAGACTATAATGCCCCTGTATAGATTTTTGGTGCAGCCTCTCTTGGAATATTGTGTACAGTTCTGGCCACCCTATCTAAAAAGCATATTGTAGGAAGCTTCCGGTCGGGAAAATGGAGACTTGACACGTCCTGAAAGTGCTCAGGACGGACGAGGGCTACTTTCAACAGTGTGGGCTTGGTAATAGCCCAACGCAACCTTCCCCAGGCAGGGGAAGTTGTCTGACAAGCATCGGATCCCAAGAGAAGAGTTGAGATTGGTGTCGATAAGGTCTCGGAGGAGACCAGTTCGGAACTTTGATCCCCTCTCTCAGTGCGGGTGTTGCGATCAGCGCTTCAGTGGCCCTACAAGCTGGAAATCCAGCATAAAGTCATCATTACCCGGCTTCGTGGACAGTGGGAAACAATTTGGACTAAACGATACAGTGCAAAGATCCGTGTAAACGTTACAAGGTAACAAAAACAAATTTACTTACCGGGAGAAGATTTTAAAAATTGAAGAATTTAGCCGGATAAGTCTTTGTGAACTTTAAAACAAATGCGGGTGGGAAAACTATTGAAAAAGTCATTAAAAAAGCAAAAATAGAGGCGAAAAGAACTTTGTTTTGCATTCCTGTGGTTGGAAAAGTACTGGCTCGAGGTAAAGGGGAAGCGCCGCGGAGTGAGAAAGCGGAAGTGACGTTTTGAAAAGAACAATAGAGAGCTTCCTAGATCTGCTCGATAAAGCGGAAAGACACTGGATGAGCGGGACCTGAGAAGCTGAAAGAGCGGAAGGACATCGGACATCGTGACTGGAGGGATGGGACAACAACAGGAAATACGACGGGGGACAACCAAAGGTGCACACAGGAAGATCGAAGGGGGAACGAAAAAGTGGAGAACCGGAAGTTAAGCTGACTGACCTACTCTGTACTTGAAAACAATAGAGTAGTTGCGCCCGACATTTTGAGGAGGACCAACTTTTAAAATTGATTTTTAAGGACAAAACAAAGACTGAGAAAAGCGAAAGTGGACAAATTTAAGAGAGGGTTTGGAGGACTATTGCTTGGGGAAGAAAGGATATAATTGGAAACAACGACGGAGTTACGGGGAAGGCAAAGAGCGGCCTCAGTGACAACACCTAAAATTACTGCGGCCAAAAAAGATAAGGAGCTACAGGCAGCCATGGAGGCAATGGAGCAAAGGATGACGGAGGCAATACAAGATATGGGCAAACAAATGAAAGAATTGTTGGTATCTGAAGTGGCAGAACTGAAAAAAAGAAGTGGGTGAAAAACTGGAGAAAGAAGTAGGAGATTTGAAGAAGGAATTTCAAAGCATAGCGCAGAAATCCGGAGAAATTGAGCAAAAGGTGCAAGAGGTGGATCAAAAAGTGGAAACGGTGGTTAAAGAAAATAAAAGATTGGATGTAATGTTGGACTTTAGAGCTATGCAAAACCATATCAGACTGAGAGGGATTAAAGAACAAATGAATGATGATATCAGAAGTAGAGTTATTAAAGCCTTCGCAGAATATTTGAAAGATGACACTGATGAAATAGAGTATCACTTTGATTTGATCTACAGAGTGAATTCAGTAGTTGCTCAGCAAAAAAATTTACCAAGAGATGTGATTGTACAATTGTTGACCAAGAGAATGCATGAGATGATTATGAGAAAACAATTTGTTGAGCCTTTTGAAATGGAGGGCACGAGGATTATGATAATGAAAGAACTCCCGAGAGCAATCTTGCAAGACCGGAAAAAATACAAAAAGCTTGTTGACAAGTTGAAAGTCCTGAAAATTAGGTATAGATGGGAAATACCACAAGGAGTGAGCTTTACTTATGAAAGTCGAAGATATACAATTAAGACCACTGGTTGAATGGCGGAATTCATGTTTGAGTTCGATAAAGACTTTGGAGATAAAAAAGAGAAAATAAGGAGTATCACTTTGATTTGATCTACAGAGTGAATTCAGTAGTTGCTCAGCAAAAAAATTTACCAAGAGATGTGATTGTACAATTGTTGACCAAGAGAATGCATGAGATGATTATGAGAAAACAATTTGTTGAGCCTTTTGAAATGGAGGGCACGAGGATTATGATAATGAAAGAACTCCCGAGAGCAATCTTGCAAGACCGGAAAAAATACAAAAAGCTTGTTGACAAGTTGAAAGTCCTGAAAATTAGGTATAGATGGGAAATACCACAAGGAGTGAGCTTTACTTATGAAAGTCGAAGATATACAATTAAGACCACTGGTCGAATGGCGGAATTCATGTTTGAGTTCGATAAAGACTTTGGAGATAAATAAGAGAAAATAAGATGGAGTACAAAGCAATATCATGGAATGTTAATGGACTAAATTCACCCAATAAAAGGAAAATTATAAAACATTGGTTAGGGAAAATAAAAATGTCATGTGATATGTCTTCAAGAAACCCATATTAGAAATCAGGACCGTAAATATCTGGCAGCCAAAGATTTAGGAGAAGAATTTCACTCATCAGCAATGAAAAAGAAAAGAGGGACTGTGATTTATGTAAAAAAAGAACTTGAACCTAAAGAAATTTTTAAAGATAAAAATGGAAGGTATATTGCGGTGAAATAAACGTGGCAACAAAAGCGAATTCTGATTGTAAATATATACGCCCCGAATGGGGCGAAGGAGATTTTTTTTGAAGAACTGACACGAGAATTAGATCAAGTCATATATGAACAAATTGTATTGGCGGGAGATTTTAATGGAACTGTGAATAATAAATTAGACAGAAAAACTAAAAATCAAGAAGAACAAATGGGGAAGCTACCTAAGGTCTTTTTTAAATAGGTAAAACAAGAGAACTTGGAAGATGTATGGAGGAAAGCCAATCCAGAAATAAAGGACTATAATTTTTATTCTAATAGTCATGGTTCTTTTTCAAGGATTGATATGATTTGGGCTACGGGAGATTTAGTTTTAAAAACCAGATCTGTGGAAATACTTCCAAGAACAAACTCAGATCATAACCCAATTTTATGGATAATTAAATGGATAATTAAAAATGGAAAGAAAAAGCTGAATGGAGATTAAATGAAGACTTGCTGGATCAAAAAGAAACAGTAGATACAATAAAGAGCGAAACAAAACACTTTTTTCGAACTAACAGAACAAAGGGAATGTCAATACAAACCATATGGGATACCTATAAGGCAGTAATGAGAGGTTTGCTGATATCTAACAGCAGAGACAGAAAGAAGAGACTGGAACAACAAGATAAGATAATGGAGAAGATACAACTAAAAGAGACTGAACTAAAGAAAAAGCCAGGAAAAAAGAAATTAATAAGAGAACTACAAATATTAAAAGAACAAATGAATGCTTTGCTTAACCAAGAAATTTATTGGAATTTGAAAAAACTACAGCAAAAATCGTTTGAAGGGGCAGATAAACCAGGAAAGTATTTGGCATGGCAATTAAAAAAGAGGAGAGAACATAAAATCATATCTAAAATTGTTGATGGAGGGAAAGAAGTTGTAAGTGCCAATGGAATTAAAAGAGCCTTTTTAAAATACTATGCAAATTTATTCGCAAAAAAAGAAAAAGAGGAGGAGGCGATACAAACATATTTGGATAAAATAAAGATGGAAAAAATAACGGGAGAATTTAAGGACTTGTTGAACGCGAAAATTACTAAAGAAGAGATTGAGAGGGCAATTCAGGATGCTAAATTGGGAAAAGCTCCAGGACCAGATGGATTTACAGCAAAATATTATAAGAAACTGAAGGAGAAGCTGACCCCAAATTTTGAGTTACTGATGAATGACATAAGAGAAATGAAAAGAACACCGGAGTCATGGAAAGAAGCTGTAATTTCGCTTATCCCTAAAGAATCCCAAGATTTAACAAATGTAAAAAATTACAGACCAATATCCCTCCTGAACAATGATTATAAAATCTTTGCCAAAATTATTGCAGAAAGAAGAAATATCTAAAAGAGGTGATAAATGAAGAGCAAGCGGGGTTTTTGCCTAATAGACAAATCAGAGACAATATACGGGTAGTTCTTGACGCTATTGAATATTACGATAAACATCCGGAAAAAGAAGTTGGTTTTCTTTTTGCAGACGTGGAAAAAGCATTTGATAACTTGAACTGGAACTTTATGTACAAGGCATTAGCTAAATTAGATGTGGGGGAACGTTTCATGAACTGCATAGCAGCAATTTATACAGAACAAAAAGCAGCTGTAATTGTAAATTCGGATTTAACAGAATACTTCAAGGTACAAAAGGGAACGAGGCAAGGTTGTCCTTTATCACCGTTATTGTTTATATGGATTTTGGAAGTACTGTTAAAACAAATAAAAGAAGATAAGACAATAAAAGGATTGACACATGAAGGCTTTTCTTATAAGTATAGAGCATTTGCGGATGATATTATGTTTATCATAGAAGAGCCTCTAAAGAATTTACCAATACTGTTGGGAAAAATTAAAGAATTTGGAGATCTAGCAGGTTTTTACTTGAATAAAGAGAAGTCCAAAGTGATGTGCAAAAATATGACTGATAAGAGAAAAAGAGAACTACAATTATTGACACAGTGTGGTTAAAAAAACTAAGTATTTGGGAATTGATCTGACAATGAGGAATATAGATCTGTATAAAAACTACTATAATAAACTCTGGGCAAAGATACAGACGGATATTAAGAAATGGGAAACTCTGAACTTGTCACTGATGGGAAGAATCTCAGTGATAAAGATGAATGTGTTACCACGGCTGATTTTTCTATTTCAGACAATCCCAATAGTAAGAGAGGTGAAGATTTTTAATAAATGGCAAAGAGAAATATCAAAATTTGTTTGGGATGGAAAAAAGCCCAGGATTAAAATGAAAATTTTATGTGATGCAAGAGAACGAGGAGGATTTCAACTACCTAATTTTAGACTATACCATGAAGCGATATGTTTAGCTTGGTTGCAGAAGTGGGTGATGTTGGACAATAAAAAACTGCTGGCGTTAGAAGGACATGATTGTAGATTCAGATGGCATGCGTATTTGTGGTACGATAAGGTAAAAGCGGATGGTTTTTTCAAACACCATTTTATTAGAAAAACATTGATTGAGACGTGGGAGAAGTATAAAAGATTTTTTTCAGAAGAGAGACCTTTATGGATTGTGCCAGCGGAAGTTATAACACCTTATTCGATTTACAAAGGTGAAGATTGGTTGCAGTATAAGGATATGTTAAAGAAGGAGGGACATACCTATGAACTGAAAAATGAGAAGGATTTGACATTTAATTATGGTTGGTTTCAATATAGACAAATTAATGACTTATTTAAAAAAGATAAGAAAGTTTTTGGAGTTAGGGAAACGTACAATGAAATAGAAGTGGTATGGTTTGAAGGGGAGAAAAAAATTATTTCTAAAATGTATAAAATATTGTTAAAGTGGTATACAGAGGAGGTGGTGGTAAAGGAACAAATGATAAAATGGGCAATAAATATGAATACAGAAGTAACAATTGAAACGTGGGAATTTTTATGGAAAAATGCTTTGAAAATATCAACATGTAACAGTATAAATGAGAATTGCTATAAAATGATGTATAGATGGTATATGACGCCAAAAAAAATTGCCTATATGAATACAAACATGTCTAGTAAATGTTGGAAATGCAAAAAGATAGAAGGTTCATTCTATCATATGTGGTGGTCATGTGAAAAAGCTAAAAAAAATTGGACAGAGATACATGGGGAAATGGAAAAAATTGTGAAATGTAATTTTAAGAAAGAACCGGAAATCTTACTTTTGGGATTGAAAATGGAAGAAGTTAACGTAGCCAAAAGAACTTTAATGTGGTATATGATTATGACAGTCAGAATAACATATGCCCAATGCTGGAAGCAGGAGCAAATACCGGAGGTGGCTGAGTGGATTAAGAAACTACTTTTTATGGTAGAAATGGACAAAATGACAAGAAAATTGAACAACAGAGATGCAGAGGAGTTTTTTGAAGACTGGAAAGATCTAAAAGTATATTTAGAAAAATATTGGGATGTAAAAGATACTTTATTTTGTTTAGATATCTATTGACTGAAATAATTGAATAAGGAATCGAATGTAATTAAAAACTAAAGGTTACCTGTTGAAATTAAGTAGAAAAAAAGGGGGGTAGGGGAAGCACCAAGGTGAACTGAAGATCGGAGCACTGTGGGAAGCCTGGAAGGGGGGGAAAGGGTGGTGGGTAGGATATTGGGAAGATATATATGTATGGTAAAAGTTGGTGTAATTTGGATATATCCTAATAAAATGTTTGTAAAAAAAATAAAAAAATAAAAAGCATATTGTAGAGCTGTGAAAAGTACAGAAGAGGGCAACCAACATGATTTAAGGGGTTGGAGCACCTTTCCTATGAAGAAAAGGCTGAGGAGTCTGGGACAGCGAAAAAGAGACAGCCAAGGGTAGACATGAAAGTGGTTTATAAAATAAAGCCGAGGGTAGAGGGAGTAGACAGAGATAACTTTTTCTTCCTCTCTCAAAACACAAGAACGTGAGGGGGCACTCAGTGAAGTAGAGGAGCGATAGGTATAGGACAGGAAAGGACATAATCTTTACTAAAGGAATGATTAAAACGTGGGATTCACTGCCAGGGGGTGTTGTTTTGGCCACTGGCACAGATGACTTTAAAGGGGGATTAGACAGAATCACCCACTCTTGGAGGAGAGGTCCCTCAGCTCTGGGTTGGGAAATGCCTGGAGATTTTGGGGGCGGAGCCTGGGGAGGGAGGGGTTTGGGGAGGGGAGGGGAGGGACCTCAACAGGGAATACTGCCATAGAGTCTACCCCCCAAAGCAGCCATTTTCTCCAGGGGAACCGATCTTGCTTGCCTGGAGATAAATTGTAATAGTGGGAGATCCCCAGGTGCCACCTGGAGGTTGACAACCCTGGCTACTGGCCATGGAGCCTAAAGGGAACCTCCACAGACACAGGCAGTGAACCAGGAGGCCTGATCGGGGAGGCTGGGGGTCTCGAGTGCTTTGGTCCAAACAGAGCCTCGGCCTCGGCGTCCTGCCTGTTCAGGCCCTCCAGAATAACTGGCTGGCCAGTGTGTGGGACAGAAGGCTGTGGGAGCAGATGGATCCTCACGGGTCTCATCCCGCATGCTCGACTTATGTTCTTAAGAACTACAGTAAGTATAACCACATAAACAGATATAGATACCATTTAACAATTAAACAGAAAAAAAATGGAGACTGGAGAGATGGCATAAAAATGCCTGAAATAAATGACATACAAATAAAAATTAAGACAAGATTTCAGAGTTCCCTCCTAAGCAGAATCCAACCAGGTGTAACTCTGCTTAGGGTGCTGCTGCGACTAAAAATATGTCGCATGGGGAAATTTGCATAAGGTGCTTCACAGCAAGGGCAGGCCTGCAAGGCCCTTGTGGGGGGGGTACTGTGCTCCCCCCACGCCTGCCAGCTACTGACTGCACCCCCATCAGTGTTTTGGCATTTTGCTTCCCTCGGAATATCAGAAGGGATTTCATTGGGGAAGGGGGAGATTGTTTTGTTTTTTTTCTTTTGCACAGATGGATCCACTTTTCTTGTAGGGTTGTCAGGTCACCCCTGGCTACTAGTGGGGAATGGAGGTGGGAGTTTGCCAGATCCAGGTTGAGGAATACTTAGAAATTTTGGGATGGAGCCTGGGGAGGACAGGGACCTCAGTAAGGTACAATGGCATAGAGTCCACCCTCCAAAGCATCAATTTTCTCCAGGGGAACTGGTCTCTGTCATCTGGAGGTGAGCTGTAATTCTGGGGGATGCCCAGGTCTCACCTGGAGGCTGGCATCCCTATTTCTGGGGGAGAAAGGATGAACTGGTAGCTAGTAATTTAGAAGTGGGAGGGGTGAGTGAACTTGGCCAATCTTGTCGCTAGAGAGAAGAAATAGAGCCACACCCACACTTGCGCTTGGAGGGAGAGAGAAGCTCAGCGTGGGAATATGATGCCCACCCCATGTCAGATCACCTCAGCTGCACACTGATGCAAAAGAACCATCCAGTGGCCCAAAAGAACCATCCAGTGGCCCAAAAGAACCATCCAGTGGCCCAAAAGAACCATCCAGTGGCCCAAAAGAACCATCCAGTGGCCCAAAAGAACCATCCAGTGGCCCAAAAGAACCATCCAGTGGCCCAAAAGAACCATCCAGTGGCCCAAAAGAACCATCCAGTGGCCCAAAAGAACCATCCAGTGGCCCAAAAGAACCATCCAGTGGCCCAAAAGAACCATCCAGTGGCCCAAAAGAACCATCCAGTGGCCCAAAAGAACCATCCAGTGGCCCAAAAGAACCATCCAGTGGCCCAAAAGAACCATCCAGTGGCCCAAAAGAACCATCCAGTGGCCCAAAAGAACCATCCAGTGGCCCAAAAGAACCATCCAGTGGCCCAAAAGAACCATCCAGTGGCCCAAAAGAACCATCCAGTGGCCCAAAAGAACCATCCAGTGGCCCAAAAGTGCAAGTGGAGGAGTGGGGGAATCAAACACGGTTCTCCCAGATTAGAGTCCGCACACTTAACCACTACACCAAACTGGCTCTCACAGTTTACTCTGGGCATATACTGCATATATTTCAATTTATTCAATTCAAAAAGGTTTAAGAAGAAACCCTGAAAAATATTTCCCCCCTGTTCCTTCAACCTTTCCAGAAATGTTTGGTCTCTAGGCATGCTGCCTGTGCAGCTAACAGGGGGAGGGGGAGTCCGGCTCAGGTCCAGAGACCCCACACACGTCGACTGTCCCTCCAGCATGTCAGTCCTGAAGCCCTGTGGACAAAGAGCCCATTGGGGCCATTTATCTGACTTTGCATAAAGCATTTCTCACCGTCATCCTTCAGAGCTCCCCACCCCGTGACAAAGCACGAGGTGTTGTCTGGGAAGACTTGCCTAGCCTCTGGAAGGCAGACACGATGCACATCGGCTGTGAACTGCACCGGGGGAGAGATCTGTGCAAGGGCAATGTCGTACTCGTGGCTCATGACATTATCTGCATAGTGTTCGTGGACAATGATCTTGCGAATACTCCTCTTCATTGTTGGGGGCCTCAAACGGGCCCCAAAGCTAGTCCTCCAGCTATTGACATCCTTGAACCTGAAAGACATTGCAAAGCATAGAGCATAGCAGGATAATGAAGAACAATTAACATATCTGTAGCATTCTCTTCCAGTCTCAGCCTTTCTTGGGGTGGAACTATATGTTGCCCTGGCCAATGTGTGGCTCCTAAATGTGTCTGCCAGCCAGTCAGGAGTTATCCTGGGCCACGGTGGCATTTGCAGGGCAGAATCGGCAGGCAGATGGCGGCTACCTCTTCTTCCAGCGACCGGTTCTCCTCTGCAAATCTTACCCTCCCCAGAGAACCGAGCGCCCCCTTCCCACCAACCTGTCCTCTTCTGCAAAGACCGCTCCCTGAATTAGCAGTTTGCAGGTGAGATTTTTCCCCATTGGGTGTTACCTGAGATTTGTGCCTCACTTGATTCTGCCACTGGACTCAAACTTAGTTCTCACATCTGTTTGTTAACTCTTGTATTTGTACGATAATCTGCTGCCATTCACAGGTCCCCCCCCCCAAACTGCTTCAGTCCCATCTCAGCTGTGCTTGTCCCCCAGGTGCTTCTGCCTCTAACTAGCCCTTCAGTGTGTGGCTGAAGTTAAGATTCAGCCGTCATTTTGTGGCTGGCTTCGCCTCCTCCAGCAGCCATTTCGTGGCTGTGCCCACCACACCATGAGAGAATTCCATAGGTGCTCGCAGGCTCAAAGGGGTCGGGGGTCCCTGGTCTTACATGGACAGCCATCTCCCTATCAAAATCTGTTCTCCAAAAAAAGAAATAAATCCCTTTCAGGGTTTTCTGTACATGTGGAGAGGGACAGCACGGGCTTGCACACAGACGCGATGCAATTCCTTTTCAGAAGTGGGGGAGACCTCAGGTGCCTTGAGGCAGGCAGTCATATTCTCACCCTCTGAAGCAATGAGCGGCAGTCACCAGCCAGTCGTTGCTGATCAGGGACGCCCCGCAGCGATGGACGCCATTCAGCTGCAGGCTGGCTTGCCAGGGCCACTCCCCTTTCTCGGCAATGTTCCCACCATAAATCCTTTCTACGGATCTGTCAACTCGTGTCCCGCAGCCTGCCAAAATGGAATACAAGTGGAGTCAAGTTACTTTTCAGGAAATTAAAAAGACTTCTGCTCATAGTATGAATATTGAAAAAAGTGGTATTATATTAGGGATGAAACTCAGACTTATGCAGGTGGTTTCTGAAAAAAGAGGCCAGCATTCTAGAAGTCTCAAAATGCTGAAGCCTGAAGCCCTGCCACCTGATTCTTTGTGTGTTTTTCTGGTAACGATCCCTATCAATCACTGACAGCAGTAGAACCGTTGGCGGTGTGTCAGCCTACTTCATTGGGGCCACCATCACTAAAGTAAGCAATAAACTAATAAACTAAGCAATAAACATATCTTCAGGATTCACAGGCACAAGGACAGTTGCAGCGCAGCCCCATGCGGTTACCCCAGTCCCATCAGTGAACCCGGGCAGGAGTCACTCACTCTGCATAGGGTTGCACTGTTCACCCAGCCAGGGTCAGCTAACACAGAGGTGTCCTGCATGGAATTGTAGGCTTCGTAGGACACAGACATTTAGTCTGAAGAAGAGGTCTGAGGAAGTCAAAAGTTTCCTTACTGCTTTGTGAATAAAGGCTTCTCTAAAAACCTCCCTCGGCTGCTCTAGGGGTTCCAGCCTGATTTGAGCACGAGGCTCCCCACGTGGTCTCTGGGGCAGCCTCCCCCCCCGCCTCAAATGAGCCTGCTGCTCAGAGGGGTCTTATGAGAACAAAATAAGGAAGGAGAATTACCTATGCTGTCCTGAGCTCCTTGCGGTAAGAAGAGGGATTAAAAAGGTACCCGGCAGATAGATATCCCTTAAGGCCTACCTGTCTCTGGTGATCATGCTAAGGAGCCCCTGTGTGGATTCCAGCACCCTTCAGAGTCTGACCCCACCCCCACAGGACCTCCTCTGTGGACAAGCAGCCGAGGGAGGTGCCGAGTGGCTCTCTGGGCAGCTGCCAGCCCCCCCCACCGTAAGACTGAAGTCAAGAGCTTTACAAAAAGCCCATTTCCTTTTAAAAATATATATATTTATTGATTTTCAAACACACAGACAGACACACAAACATGGAACAAAAATACTTCATCCATCACTGTTAAGTACGAGACTCAACACAGCTAGTGAACAGTGAATCAGCTTTATTCAACGAAGTCAGAAGAAATCAGAATGAGAACAAGAACGAGACCAAAACACAGAGCAACAGGCTCCCTTTTAAACAGTCCGGGCTTAGGTAGCCACGCCCACATGTCAGCGAACAACCAATAACTATTTACAGATAAGATCCAATCAGAGTGCTTCCCTCCTGAACCTTGCAAACCTCTGACTGGTCTATTTACAATCCTTGTTCAGACTCAAGCTTAACATGGTTTTCAATACACAACAATTCCTCCCCTCTAAGACGGAACAACCTGGGAACACAGGTAATCTTTCAGATAGGTAGGAGGCTGCTTGCTCCGTTGTGACCATCTTAATATTACTACTGGGGGACTGATTGGCATTTCCCTGTTGGTAGGGCTTTCCAGCATACCTTGGGGGCAGTTTGCCTGAAACCTGACTTCAGGTGGGTAACTGGGTTCGGTTGTGATACTGGGTGGGTCTCCCTCGTGGGAGTTGTCCGAGCTTGGAAGCTCTACTCGTTCATCTGGAACGGGTACATCTGCCACCTCAGTATTGGGCTCAGGGTCTACCTCAGCCCACCGCTTTCTCAGTTGGTCGATGTGCCTTTTAAACACTCGACCGTCTGTAAGCCGTACTGTATAAGTACACGAACCCAGTACCTTGGTTACTGTGGCTGGCAACCAACGATGCCCTCCAGCATAGTTTCGCGCATAAACCAACTCCCCCTCCTCAAAACCCCTGGTCCGGTCAGTGGACTCACTGTGTGGGGGTCTGGACGTGGTTAGGTCTGGATGCGACCCATTAACATTTCGGCTGGGCTTCACCCCGTCACAGAGTGTGGCATGATGTGTTGGTGCAGGAGGAAAGATGCCACCTTTTGGCTCCAGTTCCCCTACACCAGGCGGCTCAAAGTTTCCTTCATGGTCCGCACCATTCTTTTGGTTTGGCCTTTGGTAGCCAGGTGGAATGGTGCGGACGTGCTGTGCTGGATGAGATTTGCTGCCAAAAATTCCTGAAAGGTAGTAAAGCAGGTCCCGTTGTCGGACACAAGAGCGTCTGGCAACCCATGCGTGGTAAAAATGCGGTGCAGCGCATTAACCACAGTTAGAGCCATCATTTTGGAGGTTGGGACCACCTCCAACCATTTCGAGTATGCATCAAAATTATTTCATTTATCAGCAAGCTATTCCATTAACACCTTATTCTAAGTATTACATTGTTATAACTTCTTCTCTAAAGCTTGTAATAAGAAAACACAAACATCCTATCTTTTAAATTCTATTTCTAGGTTTCCAGAAAATTCTTAGCCTTCCAATCCATTCTAACATGTACATTATTATAACCTATGTTAGATCGCGCTAACAAAGGACTCGTAGAGTGATTCAGCAAGTGATTCAGCTTTATTGGAAGTAACGAACAAGCACTAAACTCAGTAAGAAACCAGAACAGAAAACAGTGGGAGCTTATGCTCCTTTTAAACATAACCGGGCTAATGTAGCCACGCCTATTTACAATTAACAACCAATGAGATTGCTTAGTTAAGGACCAATGGGAGTCTTTCCCTCCTAGGGAATGGTATCGTTCTGATTGGTCGCTGTTACGAAGCGACCAATAGGAAGTTCGCTCAAAGGAGCCCTGGTCTGGCTCGAAGCTTAACATGGGAGTCCTATGAGGTGATTCATGTAATCGTTTCAATACATTACACTAATATTTGTTAGAAAAATAGACCACTACAAGTTTGGGAAAAGGGGAAGTGAAACATTTTGGAAATTTCACTTCATATTTTTATGCATACCCCAGTCTGCAAAAGCTTCTGTCTTGTCTCTGGGTGGACTAGTTTTTCTTCTTTCATTATTGGCATGAACCATCTACTTTATTGTCAGATACAGAAAGCCACATCAAAAACGTAATGGTTTTGTTATTTTGCATTCCCTTTTTAGATTCTTACACTTTCTTTCTTTTGACTATAAACTAAATAGCACATTTTAATTTTATGAGAATGATTTGAGAACAACATTTTTATTTTTTTTATTTACAAAACTATGCCTCACTTTCCTGCCTTCAGCAGGGCCACCAAGACAGCTAAACCGATTAAAAATATACATAATAAAAACACATCTTAAAAACCATTAAAACCAAACAAAAACTCATAATTCAAACAATTAAAACCACATTAAAATACATAAAGGTCAACACCAGCACTGAATTGTGCTCAGAAACAAATTGAGAGCCAGTGTAGATGGGCTGAGATCAGAGTGATATGGTCTCTACAACCCACTCCAGTCAACATCCCTGCTGCAACATTTTGCAATAATTGAAGTTTCCAAAGACTTTTCAAGGACAACCTGAAGTAGAGTGCATTGCATTACAGTTAGCTAATCTAGATGTAACTAGGGTATGCACAACAGCGGCCATATATTTTCTGCCCAGGAAAGGCTGCAGCTGACAGTCAAAGCTAATAAAAGGAATTCCTGACCGCAGCTGCCACCTGCTTATCCAGCAGCAGGTCTGGATTGAAGAGACCTGAAGCAACAAACCTGTTTCTTCAAGGGGAGTGCAGCCCCATCCAGAATGGGTGACACTTGAAGTCCCAGGTCAGACTTTCCACTTGCGAGTAGCACTTCCGTCTTTTAGGATCACACTTCAGTTTATTGCCGCACATCTACTCCAAAACTGCCTCCAGGCTCCAGTTCAGGATTTCTAATATATGTGCCACATATTTCAATCTGAGGTAGAGGGTGTGTAAATGAAAATATAATGCTAAGCTGACAGAAATACTTGAACATTATAAAAGAGCTAGTTAGCATACCTCGAGGCCAAGGCATGAGTTGTGAATAGATGTGATTCTGGAGGTATGAAGAAATACACAGCATAAAAAGACAGTCCTATTGAAAACAATTTGCTCCTCTTTTTCTCCTCTTATCATTCCTCCCCTTCTCCCCCTTTTGTCCTACTTCTCTGCTCATATGATTTTTGTTTTTTTGTTGTACATCTGAATGGGTATGTGAAGTTTAAATGTTCATAACAAGTTCCAAAGTCTTTAATTAATCATGAGTAACTCTTACAGAAGAACAGTGATGAAGGCAAGAAGTGGAAGAATATGGAAAATTAAATGGAGATCTATACTGTTGTTCCAAACAATTTGGGATGGTTGACATGTTTGTGTTAAAGATAAAAGTATAAACAATAAAATTATCAGCCTCCGTGCCATGTGGACACACAAAGACTTTTCAAGCAGCTTTTGTGATGCAGCATAAGGGCCTGCTCAGCTGTTCAGAACAAAACAAAAATAGTCCAAAATCCTATTGTACATGCATAAGCCTTTAAGTGTGCCTAAAGTACCACTTTGGATTCTGGGCACTGTTTCCCAAATAGCATTGCTGGCATGATAACAGATAGAATGGGATCATGCCCTGAGCTTCTGAGAGAGATACAGGGTAGAAATGTGAAATACAAATGAACAAAAGAAGAATTTTAGGCTGTTACTGCTCTGGACCCAGAGCAACTGATAAAACAGTAGTATTCTATATATCCTGAAAGGGTTATTGATACCTGATGTGAATAACACTTTTATGTCATCAAGAGATCTACTTTTCAGAATGTACTAACAGTTTTTACATGAATCACACAAATTGGAAAACTAGACTTTATCCATATGCTGTGTGAACTGAATGTTTTATGCAAGATGAGATAATTGTGAAGAGTCCTTTGTCTCATTCAAATGAGACCTTGTATGGTATTCTTGGTATATGTATAGATATGATTGAATGAGAAAAGACAGTGACAGATAGTCCAGGAGTTCCATCAGCTTAATGGCTGTCAGCACGCTTTAAAAATTACACCAATATTCTTTATCAACCTCTGGCAATTATCTTGGACGTCTTAGTTGTCAAAGCAATAGTT